GTCCTTCCTTTTGCAGTACTTGGTGATCAGAAGCTGTGCTGCAGCCACAGGTGGGCAGTGGGGGGCCCACATGTGATGATAATTGTGGAGGGGAGGAAGTGTAAGCTGAGAAAGCTGGGAGTTGCCCAGAGCTGATAACACAGCAAACATGGTAAATGAGACTTATGGGTATGGCTGAAGGATAGAGTGGCTCTGCAGCAAATACAAAAGAATAAACCTACATTTTTGGGGGAGGAAGATGCAATACTCAAATGTCAAGTGGAAATCAATCTGTAGTTGTTGGGGCTGGGTTTTTTGGTTTTGTTTTTTTGGTTGTTGTTGTTGTTGTTGTGGTTTTTTTTGTTTTGTTTTGTTTTGGAGTTGGTTTCTTTTAGCTAGACAGTATGAACAGATCTTTTGAGTGTAATTCAAAGTGTATGGTTGAATTTTTGCTGGTATGTCTGTAATAACTACTTTGGGTTTATTGCTGCAAAGCTGAGTAGAACTGGTAAAACTCCAGTATAGGTGAGTCATGCATTATCAGTCATCTGTGGAAGTGCAGCCCCAGAGCTGTGAAGGGTTAAAATTCAGGCCGCAGGAGTGATTTAATTTTTTTAGTTTCTTTTTTTTGACTATGATAAGGAAACTGTGGTAACGTTGTGTTTGGGTGTTGCTGCAGAAAGAACCAGTGGCTGATAGTAAAGGACAGGGAAAGAAAGGAGTATTGCCATCCTAAAATAAGTGTGGTAAGGGAGTCAACAGAAATCCACAGCTTCCTCACAGGGTTACCCCTTAGCTTGAATTCAAGCAGGGAGTTCCTTGTAGAAATATGCACAAAGCAGGCTTTTTTACTGGGATGTAATCTAACATAGAGCTTGTATTTGCAAGCATGAGTTTATGCCATTCCTAACTGAAACTTCAGAGTTTATACTTGAGAAAGGTGGAGCTGGAAGCTCAAGTTGATTATTCTGAGACTTTTTTTTTTTCTAACAAAGGTAACAGGATAGGCATCTACATTTTAAATAAACCTCTTTGAGTGGACATCACTTGCATGGTCAAAAAGCAGAACAACCTACTTGAATGAGAAAATTAGCAGCCTGCAAATGAAGTTTCATTGACCCATGAAGGTCTAAGAATTTAAAATCTCAATTTATAAATCCTGTAGGAGTTACAATAATTCCCACAAAACTTTTATCTGTAGTTTAAAATTATGTAAGTATTGTCAGCTAAAGATGCAGTAGTCACTGCAAACTTTAAATTATTACCACTTTTGAGAGGGGGAAGTAAGTGCAGAGAAGTGAAATGATGGTTTTATGTTGTACAGCTTGTCTGTCAGTAGAAACCAAAAAACCACATTCTGGCTTTTTCTTAGTATTTTAACCACCCACCTGTTTCCTTTCTGCTTTCTGAATTGCACATGACCTTTAAAGTTCCCAAAATATCAAGCCCAAGCTCTACAAGTTCAGTATTTTTTGGGTGGTTGTGGTATTGACTGAGGTCTTAGGTTAGGCAGATAACTGCTTTTGAACACTGGATTTAAGATGCTTCTTCTACTAGTGCCTTTTAATGCATTAGGTTTTGAGGCAGACACTGTACAAATCTCCTAGTCCTCTATCCTATCTCCTAATCAGTGTACAAATCAGCATAATTAAGAGAAAAAGGAAAACACCTAGGTTTCGAAGTAATCATAAACTAAAGCAAAGTTTCTGGTTCTCAAAAAGGCTGGCTAAGGAAACTAAGCACTTATGCAACATGTGTGATTCACTTTCTTTTTAGTACCTCCTGAACCCACAGGCTAAAATATACTTCAAATTTATTTGAAAATCCATAACAGAGACATATCAACACCTCTTCAATGGAAAAAGCAGGGAGAATTCAGCTGTTCTGCTAGTGTTTATCAGCTAGGTTTTTTCCTGTATTCTCTCTAAAATGATAAACCATTTTTAATTTTTCTATGAAAAAGAGCAATAGTCTAAAATCTAAAGAGAAAGAGCAAAAGTCTAAAGGAATATAGTAAATTAAGGAGAATATTCACTGATATCTCCCTGAATGCTCGGTCAGCCTTCAGGAGTTTGCAATCCAATGACTTCCTGTGCCAGAAGTAATCTCTGTGCATTAATAGCCATCAATGGATTTCTCTTTCATGAATCTGCCCCCATGGGCACATCTGCAGGAAGGCAAGCTCCATTAGTTCTACAATTCTCAGAAGAGTCAATCTTTTGTTTTCTGTCATCATTGTTGCTATGTCAAAGGTTGATTCTAGATAGTATAATAAAACATTTTTTACTTTAGGAAAACAAAGACTGTATCCTTATCTCCAACCACTGTGAATCTTCCCTTTTAAGGGTGGCATCAGTTACTCTTTCTTCCTAACAGTAATGAACTTGACATTTTTTCTGGAAGTGTTGTTTTATTCAAGCGGCTTTGATTTGCATGAATATTCAGTGCTCCCCCTTTGGGCTGGCTTCAACAGGTGGGTGGGCCTAATGGTGTTCTCTGGTTATTTGATAACAAGATTTAACAAATGAATGCTTAGAGACTTCTTGCTGAAAGGGCTTGGAGACCTTTCCAAGTACCAGGAACAGAAAACAGCTGGCATGCTGCAAGCTCAGGGCTTGCTCTCTGCCAGTGAGTAATGGTTCCATGGTACTTCCTTCCCACTGCCAGCAGTGCAGGTCACTGTCCATTTAGGGCAAATGCTGTGTCTTCAGAGCCTCAAGACACATCCTGTGCTTCCTGGCAGTAGCACCACTGCCTGGGGAAGGTTTACAGTGACCCTGGGATTCTGAGTTGTTACGAGTCACTGCAAAGCTGGCATAAGTGCTCACAACTGCTCAGCCTCTTGCTTCTAAACCAAGCAAAACAGAAGTGCTGCAAAAATGTAAAATTAAACATTTAATGACTTGGTTACTGCTGCTTGCTTCTCACATTATGTCTTTTGCAGGCTCTTTCTTTCCTTTTTCTACATGAAGGTTTTTCCATTTCTTTGGGCCAATTTTTCCACAGGTTCTTGCAGTCCTCTCTGGTTCTTAAGTGTTTTTGGCTTTAAAACTTGGTGTTGAGTGTAATATTATCTACTGCTGAGCTTGTATCAGCAAGACATCAGGCAGGAGAATGGACAACAAACATGCTGCATGTTTGAGTTTTTCAAGTATCCCTGATCCAGCTGGTAATAAATTTATCCAAAAACTGGACTGTGGCTGTTCCAGAAGGTATATATGTGTTCAAGACTAACTAAGAACTGAAGAGACCACAGTTTACAGAAGGAAATTTTGAGGAAAATATCAAGCTTTTTATTTCAAATTTAACTACTGGTTTCTGGACGGGGGGAAAAATAGATCATCTGTATAATTTTCCATTGTCTCTCTTGCCATTTGACTTACTTTGGAAGTTATTTTATGTTCATGCACACTAATTCCTTTCTAGGCCATTGTCTGCAGAATTTCTTACACTTAAACCGAAGGTCAAACGTTGTCAGCCTGCACGCCATGTAACCTGACAAACCTCAGTGCAGACACCAGACCTGGAAGAAGAACAATGGGTGGGGGAATTACACACAACTGTTTAAAATAAATCCTTCTGGAGGCTTCTTGAGGCAACCTTTTCTCTCTCTTGTTCTTGTTTTTTGTTTTTTTCAGGGATAATTACAGAAGGAAGCAAAACGCAATACAACATCTGTGGTCCTTAGCCCTTCTCAGAGCACAGGCTCTCTGCTCTGTCTCATAATTTAGAATTTAATAGATTATAGTGTGACTCTAAGGGATTTAAGTTGCCTTCAGTTATGAGTAAATCAAGATATTTCTGAGAATGCATTATCAAACAGTGTTTATTGCTTAGAAAAATGTGTTGATTTCTGAGCTGCTCCATCTTCGTGTGAGAATTAGTAGCTCTAGAGAAAAGAGGTAATGATCCTTTTAGTTAAGCTGCTGCTTGGGACCCTGGAAACAGTTTTTAATTCACAGCCTTGTATAATATTATAAAAATAATAAAAATTATGTAGAGCACATTACATCAGTAAAATGGGACAAAGCTTCCTCACTTTGCAGGCTTGACGTGCCAGTTTGTTTGGTGGATGTATAAACTACAACTCCTTTGCAAAACCAAAAACTGATCAAAATCTGAGTGTGATTCCTTTTATTATCAGTGGTGAGACTTTTATCAGTCTTTTTTGTTGGGATGGGGACAGTATTATTTAGTATCTGCATGTCTTTTTCAGAGATGATGAATTTTGTGTTCTTGGTTACACTTTGCATTCAAAGATAATCAACTGTCAAGTGAAGTGTGAAATGTTTAGTGTCCATGCTGTGAATAATGTTGTTTTGGACACAACTATCATTGATTTTGTTGGCATGGGAAGGTATAGTCAGATGTGGGCACTGTTAAGATGTCTCATATCTTATTTTGGCATAACTCTGCACACTTCATGTAGTGACTTCTAAGTCTTTCCCAGGAAGATTGAACAGAATCAGGCATAATGCTAATCTGATGTGTTCATTCCCATTTGTAGTCCCAGTGTGGGGACGTATTGGCCAACCTGAGTAGTCTCAGTCTCCTATAACACACCAGATACATTCCTCCCCAGTCCAGGGGGCTTCTCTGCAAGGGATCTGTATCATTTACGTATGTGTGTATATTTGCTGCTCTGGGACTTCTGCCATTGGAATATCCCATCTGGAAGCATTTCATTCTCCTAATGAATATGTCATAAGGCAGTCTTAATTATTGTCTGTCTAGGCCTGCTCTAGTTAGATCTTACCTCTAATCTCTTCCACATTTATCTATATAATCTACCATGTGCATGTGCAACTTTATTGTATTGCTGTAGATGCCCTTTTCTTAGAAGCAATATACTGGCTTTGGCTTTTCTGACCTTGCAGCCCTTTGGTCTCTAAGGCACAAGAGATCCTCTGCTATAAAAGGGAAACAACAGAATCAGAAGTGGTTGTAGTTTGGGTTTTTACCAGTCACATGAACTTGCCTTAAAGGGGTTTGTGGGATCTCATGTTATTGTCTCTTTGCAGGGTATCATCCAAGCCTACAAGAGTGGCATAACCCTCCAGGGAAACACCACTAGCCTGGGCAGGTGGGACTACAGTGGGTCTTTCTTCTTCTCCATATCTGCAATAACAACCATTGGTAAGAGCTCCCTGCTTACAGGGCCACCTCATAGGTGGGAAAAGAGTGGGAATGAGGGCCTGTACTCAGATACTGCTCCAGCACTGTGTGGTTCCCTGGAGCTTGCAGTAGGGAAGCACCCATGACTCCAGCCCTAGGAGTGCTTTGTCAGTGCCAGTAATGATCTCTAACTGATCAGACACAGGGATAATTAGATCAGGACATAATCCTGATAAATTACATGGCTTCTGGGGCCTGAACTTCATGGTACTGCACTGCCTGGACTTTCCCAAGTCTTGTGCACTCTGAGAGGTCTGAAGTGAATTGTGCATTGAAATGGGCTTTTCCTATCACAAGGACAGGAATTATCTTGGACAATTCTTAATGCTGGCTGTTGCGTCTTCAGAGACTGTATTTATGAATTATTCCTCCTTATTACTGCCTGTATTAGATGAGGACCTGCTTGTTCAAGTGGAAGTTAAATAACTGGATAAACATCACAATTCAGTTGACTCGGGTTTCAGCAATTGGGTAATGCAAATCCATGAAGAAATGATGGAAATAAGTAGGGGGAGGGAAAGTGGAAAAAAAAAAATGTACTGGGTACAGAGCTAGTTAAGGCAGATGCTGTTAATTATTGTCATTTTGTGTCCCCTGTCCCCAAAACTATTAATAACTTGCCTAATGTCTTTTTCTTATGGTATGACCCAGTATTAAAAAAAATGTAGGAGAGAGTATGTGGAGAGATGGTTGTTGGGTATCAAAAATCCCTCACAGGTTTTTTGATTTGTCAGCTCTCTTTAAGTATTTTTTTAAATCAAGATTTTTCTTTTTGTACCCAAATGGAACCTTCTTTTGATATCTGATTGTGTTTGAAGATACATTGGCTCCAGAGCACTAAGCCCCCAAGCATGAGCTCAAAGAGAGGGTTTGTGGGTTTTCTGTGGGGGTGGAGGTGAGTGGGTGGTGGTGTGTCATCTTCCTGTGACTCAGTACATCTTTCTGTCCTGCTCCTTTGCACATGCATTGTTCTGGTTGGGAACACACTTTCAGTGTGCTGCACTGCCAGGCAAGGGTTGCACCAGATGATGGCAGTGGAGGCTCATCAGACAGGCTCACTCAGGTTATGGGTTTCCAGCAGAGCCTGGTCAGTTCCTTCCAGCCTTTGGTACAAAGCAGCATCTGCTCAGAGCTGCTTTGCGTGCCTCAGTAGTGAATCCTGATGAGTTTCTAAGCCATCAGAGTGACTGTTTCACCATGGCCAATTTAAGTCAATGATATTCAGGAAGAATCAAATGTATCATGTTAAAATAATAAAATAAGGGGATGTTGTGATGTTGGCAGAGACCTAGACTAAGCATTTCTGCTCTTCTATACAAAGAGTAGCTGCTAAGCTACTCTTCCCACCCCAACCCCCTGCCCCCACTCCCCTCTTTTTTTAAGTAAACCCCTTGTCCTGATGGCTGTAGGGGAGGAGGACAGGGCATGACACAACTGAGTTGATAGCAGAGACAATTGAAAGTTGAAAGGAACCAAATCTTGCAGCTCTTTATCTCATGATTTTAAAGCTGTTGCTATGACTCTAGAGACTTGTTAATGATTTTCAATTGCGGATTTGAGAATGCCATACAAGCCATTTCTATGCAGAAAGCTTCAGAGGACTGGACCCTTCACTCTGCTTTTTCAAGTGAAATTGTTAGTTGCATACAGATTAGTGTCATAACACTCTGTTGATAACAATATGTTGTAGAAGAGAAAACTGCAAATGGTTTCACGGAGCCTTACCCTGAGTCTACTATCATAATCTCTCTTTATGCAAATTCTTGAGGTAGTTGAGGGGTTCAGCCTCGATGAGGATACCATGCTGTGACTGGGAAGGATAATTGATTCTGTCAAGTAAAGAGACAAACTCCTTTCCAAAGAACTCAATGAAGTTCAGAGGGGTCAGTCACAATGGGAAATTTCATGTATAAGGTGTGGCAATGAGATAAATGACAACTGAGAAGGCTTCTGGAGAATTTGTAGCGGTTTTAGTGTTCTTACATGGCAAGGAAGGGTTTATCTCAGGCTGTGATTATGGAGCCAATGAAAGCAGGTCCATCTGCACAAGATTAGCCCATAGGACTTAAAACCCAAGGCATTCTGGCAAATGAGTTCAGGAAGGGTAGAGTTAAGATGATAAAGCAGAAGCAAGATTCTCAGGAATTTAGGGGTACTATTTTGAAGAATATGGATGGCCTCTATTCCATGTGTTCTAGCTGCTGCAAGTCCTTTGGCCTGTTTGTCTCTTCCACATTTTTTCTTTGTAATTAATGCTATCTATGCCTTGCTGGCCTCTTATGCAAAATAGCATCTTTGTGACCCTTGTCCTTAGTCTTCTCAAACAGCACTGCCAAAACCACTATCACTTTTACCTTCATCCATTTCCTTTGAGATGCTCTTTCTGTTCTGCCAGCTTCTGTGTTCTACTTTAGGTGCTTTAACCCTTCCACAGAAGGCGAGGTCCATTTCTCAAGTCCTTACCAGAACACTTTCTCACTGGGGTACAGGAGGGGATGATAACTTCTTTCCCCATTAACACCAACTGAGGGGCATTAGCTTCTTTCCCCACTAACGAGGTTTAAATCCCCGTGTTTCCTGTTGCAGCATCTTCTGCACTGTATCCTTCTTCCAGTTAAATGAGAGCCTCATCTATTTTCACTACTAGTGATTAGAAGCAGCATGTAAACTTTGGTTAAAAACATAGCAAGTTCTAACCTGCAGGCTGGACATAGTTGGTGCCTCAATTGCAGATGTATAAGAGATATGTATGAACTAAAATCTCTTGTTTAAAGAGGTGCCCCAAAGCCTATGTAGTTTTTGGCCAATCTCATGATTTAAATGGAATTGCATTTATAAATTTGGTATGGTCAGTCCTGGCCACCTGCTGATTCTTGCTCCGCACTGTTACGCTTCTGTGCTTTCCGCATTGCTGTCCTTGACGTATTATATCATGCCATATTTTATGTTATCTCATTTTCTGCAGATTTTTCCATAAGAACCCTTTCTCCAGTTTCTTGAAGGGTCATCCTCAGAGTTCCTGTAGAGCTGTAGTAGTAAACATGATTAAAGAAAGAAAAGCTAACTTGCTGCTGTTTTTATCTCTCAGACTTCTTTATCCCTTGCCGACACAAAGTCTCTCCTTTCTGTGTTTACTCTCCTCCTACTTTTAGTTTGGACTAACAGGGCAGAGGTCAAAGCAAGTTCAGAGTGGGGCACAAGATCAAAGTTCTTAAAGTCAAACGACCACAGGGTGGTGTAATTTCAGAGAAGGTGCTAGGGAAAGGCTCTTTCTGTAGTCAGTGATGAGGCTGAGCCTAAGAGTAGGAGTATTGCCCTCTCTAGCCTCAATGTCCCACTTAATATTGGGTGGATGGATGCCATTGCCTAGTGCTGTGTTGCCATTTTGTGATGGCACAACCACCGGAATTCAGTTGTATGAATTTCAAGGGCCCTTTTTTAAAATATAAAATGGGGCAAGTAAACCATCTCACTGTGAAGGAAAAGGGAAATACCTTCTCCCTTTTCTTTCCTTCTCTGGTTAGCACCGTACATAGCTCCTAAAAGCAGTACCCCAAAGAACTGGGAGATAACAGAGGCACAGATCAGGCTATTCAGTGAGTGATGGTATTAACCACCCTGTTACAGACATTTAGTAGTTGCCCCAGAGGATCCCAGTGTAAGGAATAAAACAGTAGCAAGTTCAGGGCTGTGAAATTCTGGTAGGGTAAAGCTTTGGGTAGCAAGAGTTTCGTGAGGACTCTGGCCCTCTGCAGTGCTGCCCAGTGTCTGGTGGAGCTCCTGCAAAATGGTCAGGTTCCTCCTATTGCTGGCTGACAATCTGTTGGGGAATTCAGTTAAACTAACTTCATGTCTCAAAGTGGTTACTTGGAACCACTTTGATATTTGAATCCTCTGTGAACCTCAGGATCCTCTTGTGTAGGGGAATTCTCAGCTGAAAAGCTGCCAGTGTTGATGTGTTGATCTTTTCCCTGCCCTGTGACAGCTGGCAGAGCTTCTCTATAGGCTTGGCCAAGGAGGATGTGGCACATGGGAGGTCACTGGTGGGTTTGGGGACAGCCACTTACAGCAGCATCCTCTGAGCTATCTCCTGAGCACTGGAAATGTGGCCTGCTTTCCTGACTGCATGCTATCTTACCCAGCTGAGCCTAAGCTCACTACAGAGCTTTCAGTGTATGCACAGCATGAGTCAAAGACTGCAGTACTTATCTGAAGCATTTTTTTCACTAAGTGAAGGAGTGTGCAACCAAATTTTACTCTCATCTGGAACTTCATAGGGCTGAAACTGTTAATAACTTCCCTGGTTCAACCTGCCAGGGTCCCAGTGAGCCTCCCCATATAAGAGACAGTTCCTGACATTCTGCCACCACTAGCTTTAAAATCAAATTCTTAAAATTTTTGTTTTGTTCTAACCATAAAACTGAGAAGCCAATGCCAGCAGTGTGGCTCCTTCGGGATTTTGTCCTGTTTCTGTCCCACGTGTACAGGCTCCATGCCTGTAGCATCCTCCCTGGATGGATGAATTGGGAATAACTGATTTCCCATGCCAGGTGTCCTCAGCTGTGTGCAGCTGATAAGTGTTCTTGAACTTAGTGCAGACTTGGTGGGTACAATGTGAAATCTCACAAGAAGGCTGAGAAGCCAGCATGTTAGTATGTTTTATATAGTTATGGAGCCATTCAAAGCAGGAGGGAGGATAGGAACCCCTGACTTGCTGATCTTCAGGTGCATGTAGGTGGTACCAAATGACCTCTGAAAATCCTAATGCTTGTAAGATCATAAAATGATTCAGGCTTCCTGGTACCTGAGGAGATCTCCAGTGCAACTGTCCGCTTAAAGCAGCCAGCTATGAGGTCAGAGCAGGCTAGTGAGTGCTTTGTCAGGGCCACCTTCCAGCTAAGCTGGGGCCATGCTCACATTTTAAGAAACCAGACAAACATTACCATAAGGCTGTGTGAGTGATCAGAAGGTGTGTTTGTGGTTTTCCTACCATGAATTACACAAAGATGTCTTTTCCATCTAAAGTGAATTTTCTTTTTTTTTTTTTTTCCTTCAATGAAACATTTGAATTTTTCATGGAAAAAACCTTTCATTTCTTCTGGATTAAAGCATCCAGATCACTTGTAAAGACCACAAGGGAAAGAAATTTTAGAATTCCTGAAAAGTGTTAGAGGAGGAGTTAGTGGTGGGAGGAGCTGGATTGTTTAAGGATTTAATTTCCTCCAGTGCCTGGGAAAATAGGAATGTGGCTCACTGAACATCACCTCAACTGCCAAGCAGAGAAGTTTTACTGAGTATTTAAATGTGTAATGAAAAATAAAATAATTGTGGCATTGATATCCCTCAGTGAACTGCACAGTGGATACCGGGCCCCAGGTTAGATGAATTCCTGGTTATTCAAAGCAAAATATTGTCAACAAGAGCAATCTGTAAATTTGGGATTAGACCCATGTCTGTAGGAAATGATGGCTTGTATACTTTCATGTAGGAGAAAAGATTTAATAAAACAAGTGTTGCTTCTCTAACCATAGCTTTATTAGTGGTTTTAGCGCTCAAACACATTTTTTGGGGAGATTTGGTTTAATGCTAACCCTGGATTTTTCTGGAGATGAAATTTGTTTTTTCAGATGTTTTTCAGCCTATGATAGACATGTTTTGTTCTAAGCACTTTTTGATGAAAATACTCTTATATCTGGACAGTGAGAACAAGTCTTTCATTGTGGGTAGCAGGAAGTTGCAGCTGCCTCAGTTAACTGAGGGCACTGCAAGTACTGTCTTGTGAATGAAAAGATCTTTACTAATAAGTCTTATCTTCTTAAGAAGTCTACAGAGATTCTGAATCCCTTATGGGCAGGAATGTAATGGGAAAGCAGGGGAAAAAATCCTTACTGTTACACTTAATTATTACTTACTTAATACGGGTAACAGAAGCACATGAGTTAAAGCACATGGTTATGAGCATTTAGAAATAAAACCATTCTTGTTTCCTCCAAAGAAGCTTAACTTACATTACACCTTATTTCAAAACAAGAGGAGCTATACATGCACTTAATCCAGCTGCTTCGGTGGAAACACACAGAGATGTCTTAGCAGTTTTTAGTGATCATTTCTCAGTGTGTCTTTGCTCAGACATGTACCAGTGACATCCCAGCAGCAGGCTCATGAGGGATGTGACACAACTGGCAGTGCAGTTTTAATTTCTGAATCTGGTTCAGATCTTCTAATATCTAGCTCACAATGATTTAAGACACCAACTAATACTGAAGAGAGGAAGTCCCATTTTCCCATTCCTGCTTAAGTTTTATAACAGTTAAGGTTTATATACAATTAGGTTGGCATTTCTTTGTCTAGTGCAAGAACAAGTGGATGTAACCAGACAGGAGTAAATTTCTGGCCATTTTGCATGATCTAAAGTCTCCTATGCTATTTGATTATACTTCATATCCTATATAAAAGCTGGTGGGACATGGTTTTTTTGGCATGTGTACAGCAACTGTGTACCAAGTCTTCAGAAAATTCTTCAAGCTGCTGAATCCAAGGGAGAAGGGAGCCAGAGAAATCAAATGCAAAGCATGTCTGGTGTTTGGAGGGCGGAGTTTACTGTGCACATTAGACCTTCCTACATCATTTAATTTGCCATTCTAAATTAATTGTAACATACAAGTTAAGTTTAGGTGCCATCCAGCCCTATGTGGCATCCCCACAATTCTGAATGCTGCTGTGCTTCACACAGTGACCAGAGAACATGGGCCTTTCTTCTTTTATGTTTTTCTGCAGAGAAACTTAGAAATCTCTGATTAAAAGAACTGCCCAAGACATTACAGAGTCTTTCAAAACTTGATATAGAAGGAAAAGAGAGGGGAAAGGCTGGGGGGAAACCACCTTGGGAATAACTGGCTGTAAATGATTGTGACTCATCTTCAGCCTCCAGCCCTACCATAAATGCCCCTCAGCACTTTCTCCAGGGCCAGGTCAGGCCACAAAACACCCTAATCCCATAAGAGAAAAATTGGAACTAATCCACTGAAATGTCACAGCCAGTATGAAATGCATCACACCAGACACATCTTTCTATAATTCACTTAGAAGGGGTCATCTACCAGATGTTCTTGCCTACATGTCTCATTTACCATACTTGTTAGTCTAGAAATGGTGAAAGATGGCAGAAATTAGCAATCATTTGGGAAAAGTGCATTAGCATTGCAAAGAAGGAGTAGCACTGGCATGAAGTCTTAATTTAGCCCCTTTTTTTGGACTGTATTTCAAAACATTTAGTTACATAAGAGCACTCCATTCTTTCTGGAGGATGCTCTCCTCCTTCCCAGGGACAGGCTCCTGGGGCTCCATTGGAGGTGTATTGTGTGCCTAAAGTTATTGAAGGGGATGTCCTCCATGGAATCAAATTTGGGATTTGTGGGGGTGCATACTTAGGAATAGTTTGCCCCCAGACCATTTTCTGGGTGTAGTTTGCTGGCAGACACGCACAATTGCAGAGTTGTCCATGGTGTGAGATTTTTGTTAGCAAAATCTTGGCACGTGTAGATATCCCCAGCTCATAGCTGCACACATTTCTACATTGTTGGTCAGTGGCTTATTGCATCTGGCATGTGACAGAGGATAGTGAAGAAATGGGACTCTGGAGTTAACCACAGATGTTTGCACTCTCACTTAATCTGGGATACAGAGCCAGCCCTGGGGCCTCTCCCTGCTGGGTACTGCTCATTTGCCCTGAGGCTAGAGCACCCAAAAGCAGGGTAGCAAGGCAGCAGAGGAGGGAGCACCTCTGCACCTCTGTGCTTGCTGTGCCCGTGGCTGGGCAGCGCTGGGAAGGGGTAGCATTATTTGTGGTAAAAAGATAATCTCCTCTGTAGACATACAACAATCTCTAATGAGCAGAGGTGATTTTGGAATGTAGTCAAGGCCATAGGTCTCTGACTGGCTAAGGCAGTGTTGAAATGTTTGTGGTGTGCTAGTTCTTCCGTCTTTGAAAGCATCCTGTGAAATATACCCTAGTTAAATCTGACTTTCTTGTGGCAGAAGACACTGGAAATTACAAGTGCAAGTCTGCAAATTTATGGGACATTTTAAAAAGAATGTATGTGGAATGAAGACAAGTGATTTTGAAGCCAGAACAATCTGGGGATACAAGCAAGGCTGTGATTGCAAGGCAGGACCTTTTCTTAGATCACTTCCTATGACTAGAAGAAAGAGGAAAAATTTAAAACTCCTTTTTCTTTAGGTCAGAAATGAAAGTATTTTACATAGGTTGAATGTAATTTCTCTGGATATATTGACTCTAGACAATAATTTTGACAATTTAAGATGGTTTTGGTACTTGTGGTGCAAAAGAATATAAGCAAAGAGGCAGTGTTAAGTTCACTAGTCCTGTGGGACAAAGGTAGAAAAGGGTGGTTGTTATAATTAAAACACTATTGTTGTGATTCAGAGACCATCTGACAGCGATGCAGGATCATGTACCAGTAAAGCCCATGCCAACAATGCTTACAAAAATTGAACTAAACGGAAGATTTGCATTTACGTCAGATCCCAGCCAGGGCAGTGGGTAGGGGAGAGGAAGTTGACTGGTAAATGGAAAAGGAACTAAGCAAAATTGGCAGCAAAGGAATGTTATTTTCCAGCCCATGAGAGGATATGACAAACAATGGATGTAACTTACAGTTATTTATAAAAAAGGTCCTTTTGGAGCAGTGACCTTCTCACCTAACTTCTGTGGATGATGGAGGTTCACCCCTCCAGGGGGAAGGGGTGCAAGCAGAGACTATTTTAGATTTAATGCTTCATTAAAGCATTTCATCAAATCCCTTGTCTAGGCTATGGGAACCTGAGCCCCAGCACTGCAGTTGGTCGAATCTTCTGCATCGTGTTTGCACTTTTTGGGATCCCCTTGAACCTTGTAGTCCTGAACGAAATTGGGCACCTGATGCTGCTTGGGGTTCAGCATTGTGCCTGTCGCCTAGAGGAGGTGTTTCACTGGCAGGTAAGCAGTATGGGGCAGGCATGTCTCAAAGGAAAAAAGACAGAGGACATTGTCTGGTATTTGAGATCCTATGACGAACAAGGACAGCCTGGCTGACTATTTGACCAAAAAGGCAATAATACTCAGGAATAACTGGAAGCAAATAAATTTAGTCTATGACAGCCCTCTGAGGTGTCGGATAAAGTTGTTTATTAATTGAGGGAAATTCTGTGATGAATGACTTCCCCCACAGCAACAGAAGTGATAAAGCATTGAGCAATGCACAGTCCTAGACTATCTAGTCTGTTTATCATCAGTTTTAGTTAGAATTGCATATGTAAGTTACGTGGGAGCATTTGTGGAACAGGCTTTAAACTGGCATGAATTTAGGACTTATGAAGGTGATGCCCAGTTTGTGTTGGCTTAGTGTCAATGTTTAACCTCAGCTGGCATCTAAGCACCATGCAGTTACTCACCCCTTCCCAGGGGGATGGGGAAGAGAATCCAGAAGAGTAAAGAATTCATGGGTTGAGGTAAAGACAGTTTAATAAGTAAAGCAAAAGTTGGTCACACAAGCAAAATAAAAAAGGCATTTGTTCACACTTTCTATCAGCAGGCAGCCATTTCCAGGAAAGGAGGACTCCATCATGCGCAGCACTTACTTGGGAAGACAAACTCCATCACTCTGAACATTCCCTGCTTCCTTCTCCCTCCAGCTCTATATGCTGAACATGATGCTGCATGGTATAGAATATCCCTTTGGTCACTTGCTCAGCTGTCCTGGCTGTGTCCTCTCCCAAATTCCTGTGTAGCCCCAGCCTACTCACTGGAGGGGTGGGATGAGAAGCAGAGAAAGCCTTCACGCTGTGCAGGCACTACTCAGCAACAATAAGAACATTCTGTATTACCAACACTGTTTTCAACACAAATTTAAAGCACAACCTCCTACTAACTACTGTGAAGAAAATAACCATCCCAGCTGAAGCCAGCACACATGTAGGACAGACATGCCATTTGTTATAGTGGAATTCAATGAATGTTTGTATGCTTTTGTGGAGTCCATCATCATATCATCATCATCTCCAACTGAAAAACAAGCTGGACTTTCCTTGCTTCCCTTCTTGTGACAATTTTTTTTTCCCCTTCCTCTTTTACCAGAATAAAGCTTCCTTCCTGATGAAGACCTGTGCACTGGTAACTGGCTTGTTATTGTTCCTCCTGCTACCTCCCTTGTTATTCTCTGACAAAGAAGGCTGGTCTTATGAAGAAGGCTTCTACTATTCCTTCATTACCCTCAACACTATAGGGTTTGGAGACTATGTGATTGGTGAGTAGTTCACATTTCATTGCTTTCACCTACTGAACAGCAAATCCATGACACACAAAGCTCCCCACGTGGCAGATTGGCACCAGTAGCAATCCCCAGACCTGATGATCAGTATGTTGTGGTGTGCATTTGGCAGGTGGGAAAAAACATGGTTTGTGCCATAGCAATGCCACCTGAGGAAGAACAAGGGCATTGTTTCCCAGTCAGTAAGTGGCACTGAAGTGGCCTTTCCCTTGAATGACTACACCACCAGGCAGGAGTGCCATGGTTCAATCACAGTGGTTGCTGAGGGCACACTTATCACACTCTGGTGCCACTCTGCCTCTTCATTAACAGACTCTGCCTCTTCTTCTGTCAAAACCCTAGGTAATTATTTTCTAAAAGGCAACTTAAATCACTTAGGTATAGGCTGTCAGGCACTAGGCACTGCTTAGCTTTGGATGCCAAAACCCTTTGCCAGAGGAAATGGGATTGAATTCACACCCACTGCATTTGCTGAAACACAGGACATGCCTCTTTGATAAAGACTTTCTCATTAAAAACCAATTGATTATAGAAACATATGCACTCTTGAATTCCTGAGAGACTAAAACATCCTATTACAGATTTGCTATTTTCTTTTCTTCATAACACTTGCTTGATGCTTAGACAACTTAGTGGCATTACCTTAGGACTTGTCTGTAATGCATCAAAGTTATGATTAGAGCTTGTGTAGGCACATGTAAATAAGTTAGGAATAAAGTTAGCTTGAGTAAGGGTAGCCAGATGGAGCTTGACAAAAGCTGGGTCAGCTCAGTGTTTTCCTATACTGATTTTACAGATGATACTGAACTCTGTGCTACAACAGCTTTACTTCTCTCAGTTTCTGGTAATGCATTTGGTATTCCTTCCTCTTCCAGCTGTGCCTTCACCTGTTTAGTACCTTTGTAACTGGAATACTGCCATAGAGGCACTAGGTTTGGTATGAGAATAATTGAGTGTCAGTTGTGGTGTATAGAGGCTAAACAATTTTGCCTTACAATTCTGTATGAGCAGATTATGCCTCAAAAATGAGGTTCAAGTGACCTTCACACTGTTTCCTCACTACTGTGATACAGAGCTGGGAGGAATAAATGACCTGTGGGGAAGCATCTCTGCAGAAAAGGATCTGGCAGTCCTAATGGGCACCAAGATGTCCATGATCCTGCAGAGAGTGACTCTGTGGCCATGAAGGCTGGTGATAATTTCAAATTGTCTTCCAAGGTTCGATTATTCTTAGAGGTTTTAGGACTGCTCAGACCTCTTTTCTCCTGCTCTCAGAGACTCTTGCTTATATCTGGTTTAACAAGATACATATAGTGGTGCATAAAACCTGCTTACCTCTCTGCCTGCAGGGACGTCTGTTACATGCTAATAGAATATCGTGGTGCTAAGCAATAAGCAGAGAAACTGTGCTTGAATGTAGATAATTTCACTTTGACATGGATGTAATTTGGGATTTAGTTTTCTTTCTTAAGAGTGATATTTGCAATTCCTAAGGAGTACTAGGCTGTTGCTGACACATGATGAAACATACTTACAACATTAGTTCACACGATAAGCGGATGGCATACTTTTTTTTTTATGTAGAAATCACTAATATCCAATGATATTTCAACTGTCTTTGCTTTACATGTAATGTCTCCTTTGAGGTACTCTTGATCCAATGTAGAAATGTTTTGGGTGGTTCTGTTGTAGGGATGAACCCAGATCGCACCTATCCAAGCTGGTACAAGAATGTAGTCTCTCTATGGATCCTCTTTGGGATGGCCTGGCTAGCACTGGTTATCAAATTTTGCATCAACATTCTAGAGAGCTCCAGTTACTTCTGTCAATGCAACAAGAAGAGCACAGAGATGGCTGAAGATTTAATTGATGGTAACAAAAATAGCGTGACTGGACTTCAGAATGCGGAGATCTGCTGTGACAAAGACACAAAAATGAAAGGACCAGTTGAATCTCACTCTTACACAGCTCCTACAGAAGCCCTCTAGGGAGGAAAAATATTCTCTGTGTCCTGCAGGTTTTAGTGCACCAGAGATGAGCCATTTAGAAATGTGTACATGGAGCTGCTCTGACCTGTGAATGGGGTGAAAGTTTGCTTATTGAGCTTGAAATGCTTTTATTTTGAATTGAGGAATGACAGAATATTTCAGTTCCAGCACCACCAAGTACTACCAACAGGACTCTTAGCCAAAAGTAGATTTGTGGAAGTGTTACCTGCGCTCCTACCTCAATCTGTGAGGTAATCTTTGACATCCCTGAGCAGCACTAGCTGCTGTGCATTTCTTTACATGATTCTTGCAGTCTCTAGTTATACCTATGGCACTTTGCAAATGCCACAGCCATAAAAGCAAGTGCCATTTAATGCAGGAAACAAATGGCATATTGCCAAAAAAAATGAAAAGCACTGTTTAAAGCTATCTAGCAGTCATGGCAGATGTGCACCATCACCTATATACTTGTGCTTGAGAAAGGTGGTAACAAGGTTTTGCTCTCTGATCGTTCATATGGGGATGGCAATGAGGAAGAGCTCGTAGAGGTGCCTGATAGAAACAGATCATTCAATTTTTTAAAAAGTAATTTCTACATCAGAAGTCTGCTAACAGAAAGAGACTGGGTATGCTATTCCTTACTTCAGAACTTATGTGGATTCATTCTTGGAAATATTTTGCAGACCAAATGTCATCAGCTCAATGCGACAGTTCATTTAGATAAATTTGTATTTTGTCACATCTTGGAAGTCAGAAAAGGAGGACTAGAAGCAATTTTAAAAGTCAGTGGTTCCAACATTTTCCTATTACCAATATTAACAAGGACTACTTCAGTCTAGAAACAGACTGAATTTTCTTCAACTATGATCGAGAGATGCTATTGTGATGAACTTCTCATGTCATGAATGATTAGTGTACTGTACCTGTTCTATCTAACATCTTATATATAATAACAACTGTCTTTGATCTGTGGAATGACATGCTTATTTGGTTTTTGTGTCAGTCATGAAGCAGAACTTGGTTGCGTCTTTTTAATTCCATTAAATTCTCAAAAATCTTTTTAAATATTGTGCCATTTATAAGGGCACAACAGTCTAACTCCTGGTGCTATTTGTATTCCGTTATCTGTTCTTCTCATTTTGTTACTCTTCTTGTGGTATTTGCATCCTAAGCATTAACTTTGAAAACTTCACCATGGCAGCAAACCAGAATGAAGCATTTGATTGAGCCTTCAGCTTTTGCAATGAACCTAAGGTCCCATGGGGTTGTAAGAGAAAAGACTGAAAACAGAGTCTGTTGGAGTATGGACTGAGGAATTAGAAATATGCATTGCTATATTCACAGAAATGGAGTGAGTGAAAAGTGTACAGTCTTCAGGAACACAAGTTCTGAAACATATATTGTGAAAAAAATGTTTCCAGAAGAGGCCAGTCTTGAGTATTGATATCTGGTGGAACTGATTATAGGAAAAAATGCAGCAAAAGGATCAGCTGAATGAAATTCAGAATGTTGACCTTTTTCTGATTGCACAGTAGTAAATGTTCTCTCAAATACTGTTTGAAGGGGCAGCAGATATCAGGAAGGGAGACAGTGGACCTCTTGGATCATACTGATGCAAAATAAATACATTTCAAATTTTTGAACATTGTGTAATTTTTTTAATAGCCTTTAGCATAAACTTTTCTGTTCCATGTTTCATCTTTCTTGTTTTCACTGATGGATACACAATGTAGGTTTTATTGGCCTACCTGAAGAAGAAAGTGTATTTCTTGAAACATGAGTAAATTACAATTGACTTCACAAAATGTGAGGCCCTTTAATGCATATCCTTTGCACCCTTTTTCACAGGCAAAGCTTAGTAAGTATAGGTGTATTGTAAAATCGGGATGCCCGGGAGGTAGTAGAGTTTCTGCTGTCAAAGCACAGGAATGACTATGTTAATCTGTTTCAACTTTTACTTGAAATGTCACAGACTCTGGGAATTTCTACTAACTCTGCTATTTGATGAGAAGGCTTGTAGAAGATTTGAGAAGAGTTTCTTCTTTTGGATTTGAATGTCTGTAATAATAATCTCATTTAATTAATGTTCTCATCTATTTTTAGGCTGTGGATGGGGTCTTCAAAAGTGCCTTTGAGGTTTAGGCATCCTGGTCCCGCTGAAGAGCAGAGTTACCTGTCTTTGGGCAGCTAATGTATATTTCTGAGAGGCAAAGGGGAGAGGAACTCAAGGAATAGTCTTGAAAAAGAGGTTAAAAGCCTTTTGCAGATCTCAGGACTTCCACTGCATATAAGGGTTCAGCCACAGACTTAGGCACATGGCTGGGTCTCAAGATGCCTCGTTATCTGCCCCAGCTGTCCTTTCTGAGTCATGTCCTTCTGCAGCCCTGCTGCCCAGCCACTCACCACCAGCACAGTCCTGCCACCCACGGTCTGGTATCCCATATTTTACGAGAGACGCGTCAGAACTGCTGGCAAGCCACACATACCTCCAGAGCCACAAGTTCTTGCTTGGATCTCAGCTCACCAAAAATTTTAGGAATAACTGAGTCAAATACCATCTCTGGCTGGTTTCTCTGACAGTGAATTAGCATGTTGCCTCTTATGAATACCCTTTTTCTGACAATTCCTCTCAGCTAGCTTTTGATGCAGACAATAGATATTAGTATATCTGAGTCCTTGCAAAGAGCTGTGCCTCTGGTCTTTCTGTTCTTTATAAAGATGTGTTGTGGTTAAATGATATGAATGTATTTGTTCCTGAGGGGATGAGAAGAAAGTGGAGTTTTGCAACATCACAAAAACATCATCATCACTGTGTCTACTCTACCAAAATATGAAAGGTTATCTTCTCAAGGGTAAAATAAAGAAAACAAAAGCATGGTCCTCTTATCATTCTTGTCACAGATGACTTGCAGTCTTCCCTAGTGTGCATTGGAAAATTACAGATGCTCCTTGATTGGATTTTTTTTGTCTCTTTTGTTCAGATAAGTATGCAGTTTTTTCATTAGTAATTTCAAATTGACTTTCACTGCTATTTTTCTGCACAAGTCAATTTTTCCTTATTGTCCTGTTTTCTTCCTTGGGAAGAGTGGAGGTTGGAAACAGCTTTGGTAGTTGTAAATATTTATGTAAAATCACTCTCCAGAGGCTTTTTCACAATCACATAGAGCATAATGTGCTTCTGACCTTTATGCAGTTTCCCAGGAAATCAATCCCTTGAAGCAAGAAGATAGAGAGGAAGATATCTCCCCTACTTCAAGGACAAGTTCTGGCTTCAACCTCAGTGTTTCTTATGCTGGCTCTTTCTGCTAGGCCAAAAGAGATGTTTATTCCTTGGGGAGGGGTGTGCCCAGAAGTCCACAACAGGATGTCACAACAACGTAGTACAGGCTGCTCAGAACTGCACAGTTTTTGTCTAGTTGACTACAATATTTTGAGGTCCCTAGAGCAGAACAAGGAGGCTCTTTTCCCATGATGGTCTATGGCTTCAGAAAAAGTCCAGGATGTTATTTTTCTTGCAGTGTATGGCTGATAATATCTTTTCTTACAACTGTTATCCCAGGTCAGTTTAGAACTGAAAACTGTTGGCCTAGAGGATGTTCAGGGGGCTGTCATCAATGTATCTAAATATCTGCAAGGAAGGTGTGAAGAGGATGGAGTCAGGCTCTTTTTCAGTGGTGCCCTGTCACAGGGAAAGAGGCAATGGGCACAAACTGAAACACCAGGAAACACTTTTTCACTATGAGCATGACCTGGCACGTATTCCCCAGAGAGGTGGTAGAGTCTCTATCCTCAGAGATCTTCAAAAGCCATCTCTAGGTGACCCTACTTGAGCAGAGGAGTTTGAACAGATGATGTCCAGAGATCCCTCCCAAGCACAGCCATTCATGTTTATGCATTTTAAGTTCAAACCAGCCTCCTCCTGGTAGTCCACTGTACACAGCCTTCCCCTCTCTCCAGACTGTCTCCATTAACAGCCAGGCTGCACTGCCAGCAGGCATGGTAGACCTTCCTGCAATTTTGTAGATGCTAATTATTTTTTATCTCAGAGGCAGAAATGCACTTTGTAAGAAGGTTCGTACAGAGCAAATACAATTATTTGGGGGTAGGGAGGGTGTCTTGTCTATATGTTAGATGCCATTGTACCGTTCAAAAAATGTGCAATGATGTTCAGCTTTTCAGGTTGGTATAGCCTCCTGTCAGTGTTATGTATCTGCCTGCAAGTTCTAGAAGATGGATTTGGTGCTTCATCTCTGACACACTTCAGGTAAGGCAAACCTCATTTTGGTTTACCCTTTCTAAAGTAGAGACTTACATTGGTACTGGTGGCTACTTACCAATTGAATTAGGGCAAAATTTTAATGTATTAAGGTCTTATAAGCTTGTCATCCATGTAAATAAATATTCTGTCTGATGGAAAAGGTGAATACAATAAACACAAATAAATGGTCTTTTTCAGTACTGTTAATGCCATGGCTTAGGGAACTGTGTACTTGATAGTGTTTCCCCTTCCAGTAGTCCTGGCTGTGGGTGAGGTAACATCAGGGCAGATAATTTTGGTGATTGCCTCTAGGCACCTTTTTGGTCTTAGATGGTTAGGGGTTTTTTGTTTGTTTGTTTTCTTTTGTGGGTTTTTGTTTTTGTTTTAATATCTCATGTAAGTATGTGGAAACTTACAGATTAAATGGAGTTGGGTCTGAACATCTGGGCATGTGTCACACTGGATGGTCCTGGGCAAAGATTCAGGGGGTTCTCAGAAAGATGATTGCAGTAGAACAATATCTATGCCCTGAAAAATCTTGGAAAATCAAACCCTTAAACTCTCTATGTTAATATAAATGAAGATGTGATCTTCAAAACTTCCTTTCAAATTCTGAGCTAAGGTACCTTTATTTTTAAGGGAAGCTGTACGAGAAAATATTCCTAGTAGAAAATTGATAGATCTATATTGCTTGAGTACTGGAGATACCTCTTGAGGCAGAAGCAATGCAGTGTCAATTAGAAAGGCTTTGAAAATATTTTAATTTTTATGGTAATATGTAACTTGTTTCTTCACTGCTACTAAGTTATACACACGGGAACACAGGATTTAGTTCTCAGGTAATATGTGTTTCCAAACTCTCCAAATTAAAACAAGAGTATGCTTACCAAACAGAGCTGTAACAAAATAAAACAGAAAAGGAAGGAAAAAAACAGGAAAGAAAATGTGGAGGAGAGAAGGCTGTGGAGTTTATTACTCATTCCTAAGGAACCTGGTTATCAAATTTGGTTAGGTTCGTACTTTTTTTCCCTTTTTTTTGGTAATGCCTTTAAAAGCTATCCTTAAATAAATGAATCCAACTGTATTTAGTTAGTGATTGTGGAAATGCTTCAGACATCCATGTATCTGAGTGAATAGGAAGGCCCAATGCATAAATTTAGGGGTGTATTACAGCCCCAGAGGCAAAACTGAAGAAGAAACAGGTGTGGAAATTGAACAAAAAGGCACACAGAAAGAATATGATCAAAAAGGAGGGATTAATTGAGGCAAGGAGAAATCCAGTGAAGCAGCATTTTCCCAGCTTACTGTGAGGGAACTTTCAATATAATTAAAAATTAGAAGTAACCTAATTTGAATAACTACTGATCAAGAAGTCATGATTGTTCCACAACTGCTGTTACTTGACACCTGATTCTATTACAGGTTGGAGTTGCAAGGCAGTTTTTAAAACATTTCAGTTCTCCAGGTTAATGTTGTTAGTCACTTTTCCAGCTACTTTTTTGGATCTGCTGAGTTGGAACACTATTGTGGTACTAATGATCCTCTGCACCTCAAACTGATAAAAGGGTGTCTTCCAAAGACAGGTTTCAATCTGTTGATTAAGCTTTGGTTAGAACGTAAAAATGCAAATTTTACAAAGTATAGTACAGAAAAATAT